ATATCCATATGGATTTTTAATCCAGAAATGTAACATGCTAATCATGTTACTAAATCAGGGTTTGTTGAAGTCATTGTATTTAGGAATTACATACATACAATGCATAATACAATGTTGGCAAAAACTAATATAAACACACTTCACTCCTTTATTTAAATTGGTAAAATTGTTAACAATTGAAACAATAGACTATTGCATTCAGGTGTTTCTCAATTAAGTAAACATTGCTTTTCCAAATAGTCCTTAAAAAAGTAACAAAGAAATAAATTACGAGAATAGAGTAGTTTTGTTGTCTGTATTAATTACATACAGTTCTGCTCATAAGTTTACATACCCCTTGCAGAACATATATTTCTTATTTAGTACTGTCCTGAATAAGCTATTTCGCAGGTGTTTACATATATTTACAAGAGCAAAATAATAACTGACTTTATGAAAATGTATAAAAACAGGTATGTTAGGCCGCATTTAGCTCAGGATGGCAGAAGTTGAAAGATTGGATATTAATTTGCCATCTCATGCCAACACGTGTGATGTTTAAGCATCTAACGTGAAGTATTCCTGTAGTTTTGAGTACAGTAAGCTTCTCAGTCCTGCCTCTTACAGATTCTTCGTCATTGTAAACAAGATAGTGGGGTGATATTTATAGACCCTTACATAATCACATTCTCAGTTTACTTACTGCTACACCAAACCTCATCCGACGGCACTGTGTATGTGTGTGTGTGTGTGTGTGTCGCTGCAAGGGCACAGGCGTGGTTTGTTGTTTTTGAAGTAATTGCCATTTTTCGTGTGTTTGCATGTGTGTTTATCTGAACACATGACTCACGGTCAGAGTGTGTGTGGTGCTGTATGTGTGCATAAACTATTTCATGTAGCATTTGATTTAATCAGCTTTTGGCAGTAGGTTTATATGAAGCTGTGTGAGCTCTCTTAAAACTGGCTGTAAAAGATATTAGTGGTCCGCACAAATATTTTCATTAAAAAAAAAAAATCTGTAGTGTGCATAACACAAAAAGTGTTTTTCTTATATCATTTTAAAACTAATTATAAACTAATTCTATTAACAAATATACATTTGTTGTCACTTTTTTCATTTATGCACTTTTACAATTTTTTTTTTTTTAAATATATAGCCTATATAAGGACATAAAGCATTCACATCAGGATTTGTTCATTTTGATTTCCTTCCCTCCATCACCACTCATTTACCTTCAAATAATAGTAAATAGTCATTTTATAATTTTTTTTTTTAATTGAAAGCCTAATTGAATAATGTGCTTGTAATCAATGTGGTTCTACTCTTAAAATCGAAAGAAAATTGATTTATTAATTTACTGGTTTTACCATGTTCTTGTCTGAACTGAAGATGATAACTGTCCCATTTTGACTTTGCTAAATGATTTTCTTAGACAAATGTGACCCTGGAGCACAAAAGCAGTCATAAGTCGCTGGGGTATATTTGTAACAATAGCCAACAATACATTGTATGGGTCAAAATTATTGATTTTTCTTTTATGCCAAAAATAATTTGGACATTAAGTAAAGATCATGTGCCATGAAGATATTTTGTAAATTTCCTACCGTAAATATATAAAAACTTAATTTTTGATTAGTCATATGCATTACTAACTTCATTTGGACAACTTTAAAGGTGATTTTCTCAATATTTTGATTTTTTTGCACCCTCAGATTCCAGATTTTCAAATAGTTTTATCTCACCCAAATATTGTCCTATGATAACAAACCATATATCAATGGAGAGATTATTTATCCAGCTTTGAGATGGTGTATAAATCTAAATTTCACAAAATTGACCCTTATGACTGGTTTTGTGGTCCAGGGTCACAAATTTACTGAAAGGCTATAAGGAAAGACGGGTAACCAGGTTCCTACAATTAATTCACAGTATGCACACACTGACTATTCATTGACCATCAGACCAGCCCAAAATCAAAAGTCTGGATACATGAGACACTTATGTGGTTTGTGCCAAAACTAGCAATTTATTTTCAGACAATAAAGTTCATTGTTAGTCTCACTAGGCCTTCGACATTTTCAGGTTTCTAGGCTTCTAGCAAATTTCCCAAAGAGGCCAAAGTCTGTGAAGATGTCGGGACAGGGCTCCGCTTGTCCCTTTGCTCAGTTGGGTTTGAAGGCCTGGGGCCTCATGTATAAAACTTTACGTAGATTTCATCCTAAATTTTGCGTACGTACAAAAGTTTTCAGATTTATAAAGCCATGCGTCCCAGAACCTGCGCAAAATTCCCTTTGTAATACCCAGTCAGTGGAAGATTGTGCGTACGTGCATCTCCACCCCGTCTCCTCCCCGAAATAGCCATATATAGATCTTACAACGCCTAGTTTTAATATGCATAACGTCATCTGCATATCATTTCCATGCATATTTCCATCCACGTGACACCATGTTTAAAGCAGTTAAGGGTAGCCTACAACACGTTAGGAAAATACGAGATACGGACTATAAATGCGTTTTGAGACATCACTATTCTAATTTATGCAATTTGCCTAAAAGGTAAACATATATTTTAGACTGTTTATAGCCTATATTTTTATGGAAAGAGATAGGCCTTTTTTTTCTGACTCACCGCATCAATAACAAAACATTTGGAAAATAAAACGCACATATCTTACAGTTTCCTTCAAATTCTATCTTTTAAATATGGTGTTTGTCACAATATTGGGAAGAGCACGAAAGGGGTTATCATTAGGCTACTGTCTGTGCGCGACACCTGAGAACAGTTCTACTGTCATCAGACCAATGGACTGTTTGATCAGCGAGTGCATCCTTATGTCTGTCGTTACAAAGTCAAGTTCACAAAAATGATCATTATTATTCGCGCAAAAGTACTTTCTCAGAACATGAGTTTTGCTATTTAGAACACAATTTAAAGCTGAACTGTCATGCGCCAAGCAATCCTCGCTGTGATTAAAACATTAAATCGCATACCACAGGAAAACTGTTCGAAAGCAGCACATCCACTGCAAATATTTCTGTTTAAATTCATATACAAATGTAATTTCTGGATAATAATTTCATGAAATTTCAGTGCTTAACTCATTTCCATGCATATTTCCATCCACGTGACACCGTTTAACGCAGTTAAGGGTAGCCTACAACACGTTAGGAAAATGCGAGATACGGACTATAAATGCGTTTTGAGACATCACTATTCTAATTTATGCAATTTGCCTAAAAGGTAAACATATGTTTATAGTCTATATTTTTATGGAAAAAGTTTTTTTGCAGTGTAAATAGCTGTCTGACTCACCGCGTCAATAACAAAACATTTTGAAAATAAAACGCGCATATCTTACGGTTTCCTTCAAATTCTATCTTTTAAATATGGTGTTTGTCACAATATTGGGAAGAGCACGAAAGGGGTTATCATTAGGCTACTGTCTGTGCGCTTAACCTGTGAACAGAGGTCCTACTGTCATCGGACCTTTTCAACCCAGCCAATGGACTGTTTGATCAACGAGCGCATCCTTATGTCTGTCGTTACCATCTGTGTTCCAAAGCCATCAGACGAATCAAGTTCACATCAATAATCGTTATTCATGCAAAAGTATTTTCTCGTCAAGTTCACAAAAATGATCATTATTATTCGCGCAAAAGTACTTTCTCAGAACATGAGTTTTGCTATTTAGAACACAATTTAAAGCTGAACTGTCATGCGCCAAGCAATCCTCGCTGTGATTAAAACATTAAATCGCATGCCACAGGAAAACTGTTCGAAAGCAGCACATCCACTGCAAATATTTCTGTTTAAATTCATATACAAATGTTGTAATTTCTGGATAATAATTTCATGAAATTTCAGTGCTTTACTTCATTATTCAGAGTGTCATATTTAATCTAAACGTGTGTCAAATCTAAAACAGACTTTAAAATCATTCTGTTCGCTTCCTTATTTCGCTCCACCGTCCGTACGGTGCGCACATATTTACGCCTAGTTTATTTTTTATAAATCCCGATATGTGCGTGGAAAATTGCATACGCACATTTCCATGCCCATTATGTGCATACGCAACGTTTATACATCAGGCCCCTGATGTCTGAGTTGTGACACTTTTTTTCCCTTTTTGTTTAACCTCATAATGTTTCGTCCCATCTAACTGCGTAATCTGATGACCAAACATTTGCTGTCAGCGTAACTTTACGTTGTGGCAGTCTGGAAAGTGAGATTCCTGGATTTGCTGCCACAATGTATGTAACTTTGGTGTCAGATGTTAAAAGTGTTGTGGTCTGTTGTTGTGTTGCTAATCTAGGTTTAATTTTACTTGATTGATTAGCCTGTGGGCAGACAAGCAGTAGACAAACCAGTTCAACATTAGTTTACAGATAGTCTATTCATTCTTATGAAGATGAAAATGAAGGTGAAACTTGGTCTTGACAGCAGCATTGATCTAATCGGCTGTTTTTTTTGTATGAGAAACCTCACAAAGTCAGTCATTGTTTCCAAAATATTCATCATATTCAAATTCAGTGTCTGCACGACTCCATGCATGCACAGCTAAAATACATGCAAAATGTATTTGGGAAAACGAGTTAAAACAAGATCTCAGGTTTTAGTTGTTTAAAGATTTGTTTAAACTACTAACCCCAAGTGAGCATTAGTTATTGTAATGCATCATCAGGCACCAATGAATTTTCATTTAGACAGACAGTTGCATTTCCACAGTCAAAGGGTTTTTGTGCTCACTCTTAATATTAGACGTAACAATATTAAAATGAGGTTAACCTATCAATAATATGATTATATACTGTGTGTCCACTGCTGGTTGGTCTGATAGCACAAGGAAACCAGTGTCCAATACCTCATTTCCCTGGACAAAGGTTGTCTGTGTTCCTTGTGATACTGTTACATTTGTTGAATCACAAATGAGATGGATTTGCCTTTCTCTGCATGTGAGCTCTCAGTAGCTCAACTGTCCTGTGTTTAAAGATTTTCAGGCTGTTGGTTTTCTATCCACAGGTGGTTTTGCTATCGTATTTCTGGTGAGGGCTCACCAGGGTGTCCGTTGTGCGCTGAAGAGAATGTATGTGAACAATGAGCATGACCTTCAAGTATGCAAGAGGGAAATTCAGATTATGGTGAGACATTCCCTTATACACAGATCTTTATTTATTTATTTATTTTTGTCAACTGGTAAAGTATGACACTAAAAATGGTGTTTTAGATTTACAGAAAATACACATGCTGATACAATAAACCCTGAGCGCACTATAAGTGACTTTGGCTAAAAATGTCTGCCAAATGAATAAATGTTCATTATTAGATATCGCCACAAGCAGCAGTTATCAGGGCCCAAGCACTTTGAGAAAAGGGGAGAAAATGACCACAAACTCCAAATTTGGCAGAGAATAGACATCAAAAATTTTGAATTTGAATAGAATGTTATTTTAGTTATACTGCTCCCTATTGGTGGAATTTGACAAAAATTAGAGTGCCCTCAAAATGATGGCTACCAAATTTCATGCAGGCACGACTTTGTGTTCAGGAGGTATATAGACCAAGCAAGTATGGGCCATGAACAAAAATTAAATTAGCTTTGGCTGCTGAACAAATTGACAAACTAGCTTTGAATTTCTATTTTTTTTTTCAGGAGGGACTATGCAAGATATATAGATATAAGATAAGATTATATATATAAAAAAACTGAAGTTGAGGTTTGCATGAAGCTGGGTGACAGCATGCCCAGGAGACTACAGGCTGTCATTGAGGCTAAGGGCTGCCCGACAAAGTATTCATAGTTGTGTAAATACTGTCATACTAACAGCTGTCTGAATAATTTTTGGTTGATTGTAATCTATTACATACCTTTCTATCAAAATTATCTAACATTATCAAGATGAATTTGTTCTGACACAGTTTAACTCTGAGTTCTTGTCATATTTTATTACCATTTTCTAAACTATAGCAAATAAACTGTGATAATGGGAGAAATGTTGAAGGTGTCTGAATAAATTTTGGCTTGACTGTATCTATTTGATAAATTAAGTTAACCAACTAACATTATACATACCCTTTTGGTTTCTATACCCAATATTAAAAAAATTACAAATGCAATAAAAATATTGGTATCGGTACTCGGTATCGGCAAGTACCAAAAATAAAAGTATCGGTGTCGGGCGAGTACTGGAAAAAGTGGTATCGGTGCATCCCTAATTATAAAGCACCATAAAGTTTCCGTGCACTATATTTCAAGTGTTCTGAAGCTTTTCCATAGTTTAATGTGAGGTACAGATGAATATTTAAGTCAAGTTGACGTAAACTCTTCTCTCCGCAGCGGCTGTCTGTCAGCCTCCATTCAGCATTCAAACTGTGTGTCACATTCGTTTATGACAGTCAAGAAGATGAAACTCTCTCCAAGATGATTAAATGTTCCTAATGTCATACTTGATCTGTAAATAGAGATAAATGGTTTTGCATAAAAGGAATTTATCTTGATGGAGTTTCGTGCTGTTTCTAAATCGTGTACATTTCTACCGGATTATCTGGTTAGATCATAAGACAAGTATACGCACTATATCGGATTTGGATCGGCCTCGTCTGACCGATACCCCGATCCAACAGAAAATGCCAATATCGGAGCGATACCGATACTGAATATCGGATCGGCGCACCCCTAATTGTTACAAACAATTTCTATTCTATATTCAATATTTCTATTCTATTTTCTATTCTTTCTACTGGTATACTGTACATACACAAACAAACATTTTTTTCAGTGGTTTTCCAAATACAAAAAACAAAACAAGCATTTACTTATTATAAATACCAAAATACTGTCAGTCTGGTCTGCTGAACATCTTTTTGACCAAGATTTTGGGTTATGGTCATGTTTCATGCTTGTTTTGGCTGGTCCTTCATACATGTTGTCACCAATACATTCGTTAAATGACGTAATTTTCAACAGTTAATCTTGCAGTTTAAAAGGCAATGACATTTGGTCACATAATGCACAAGTTTGTTATCATTGATGTCCAAGATGTTTGATTTCTGAGCAACAATGAGGAAGATTGCCTTTTTTAACTGGTGCCACCTTGCATCCCTGTTATCGATTGTATTGAAAATGGAAAATTTCCGTAAAACCCTACAGAGTTTATTTTTCGATTAGAAACCAACTGGCTGTACATTATCATCCCATACAAAATGGCTTAAATTTCAGTGGGTTGCTGACACAACGATATCGCATGGCTTCAGATATGGTCACTACAGTGTCGTTTTGGATATACTGTTCTTTTAAGCATCCAAATGGATGTTCTCTAGGTTTTTTTCCCCCATCATCATTTGTCCTTTATTTGATTAAGCTCCTCACTGTAATAGCACTGTGATTAGACCTTTAAAACTGAGCCATGCAGTCTTGAAAGGATTTGAGGTCTCCTGTTCCTCAGTTTGCATGTGTTGCTGTAAATACAGTGCTGAGAACAGTACACTGTCCCGGTAAAGGTTGCTCGTGTCCTCTGGGACTGATTTCAGAATGGAAATCCAGTGTACTTCGCTGTGAGCCCTACTAAATAGACAAGAGGAAAATGTCAGCACTGTTTCAGCATCACAAAGTGTCTTGCTGTTTCCAAATGAGCAGCTGCTCACAGTGCACTCCTAAATAGACAACTAACAGGGAGCATTTCAAATTTGTGAATGAATGAGTCGATTTGAAAGGACGTTGAACAGCTAAGCTGTTTCATTTCAAAACTAGAATTGACTTAGTCGACTCAAACACCCATTGTCTTGAGCTTTAAGCAAATGGTCAGAAAACTTGAGTGAGCTTTCACATTTCAGGCATTTAAAATAAATGCAAAGCATACTTATTTGTACACTACAGAAAGCTGATATACAAAAAAAATGTTTAATTAAAAATTCAACATCGATTAAACATTAAAACAAACATTAAGAGTGAGTTGGGAGGCTTTTCATTGAATCTTGTTAATAAATGAGAATGCAATAGTTCCTTAGTATTAACAATCCCAGACAGCCACTTAAAATAACTGTTTATATATTTTAAAATGTATTTTATTTTAATCATTACTCCAGTCTTCAGTGTCACATGATCTTTCAGAAATCAATCAATTTGCTGAAATGTTGAAAACCGTTGTGCTGCTAACTATTTTAGGTTTTTACAGATTGTTCTATCTAAATGTGTTGGTTTTCTTAAACAGAGGGACCTTGTGGGTAACAAAAACATTGTTGGTTTTATGGACTCCAGCATCACAGCAGTAGGTTCAGGAGATGTTTGGGAAGTTCTCATATTGATGGACTTCTGTCGAGGTCAGTATGTGTTCCTCTCTTTAAGATGGTATGGCATTTTGAGATTTAGAGCCTTTTCCCACTAGTTTTGGTGGTCTTGACCTACTATGCAGTGTTTGTGTGTAATAACCCAGGTGGGCAGGTTGTGAACCTGATGAACCAGCGCTTGCAGACTGGATTCAGTGAGACGGAGGTGCTGCAGATCTTCTGTGACACATGTGAAGCTGTCGCTCGACTACATCAGTGCAAAACTCCCATCATCCACCGGGACCTTAAAGTATGAGCTCTTATTATTTTAAGAAATAGTTAACCTTAAAAAAATAAAAAATTACTCACTTAGTCATTTAGTCACTTCTATGTTGTTCCAAACCTATATAACTTTCATTTTTGAAACACACAAAAGGAGAAGAATTTTTTGCACTGTTTTTTTTTTCATTCAACTAAAGCATACAGAAACCTATGGAAGGCCATTTTCGCCACTGAATAAAAAAAAAAAGAAAAAAAAAAATTCAACTTTTTATCTCACAATTCTGACTTTTTTCTTAGAATTACATGCCATAAACTTGCAATTGCGAGTTAAGTCAGAATTGTGTGATATAAACTTGTAATTCTGAGAAAGTCGCAATTCTGACTTTATTTTTCGAGTTTATATCAGTTGTGACTTTTTTTCTCTCTCAGAATTTTTAGTTTATATCTTGCAATTCTGACTTTATAACACGCAATTGTGACTTATAAAGTCAGAATTGTGAGATATAAACTCGTAATTGTAAGAAAATAGTCTTCTTTTCTTTAGAATTGGACCTTATAACTCACAATTGTGAGTTTATATCTCACAATTCTGAGAAAAGAAGTCAGAATTGGGAGATATAAATTTGCAAGTGCGAAGAAGTCAGAATTTGCGCGTTATAAAGTCAGAGTTGCGAGAAACAAAACTCAGATATCTTGCAATTCTGTTTTTATAACTTTCAATTGCATCTTTATATCACACAGTTCTGAGAAATAAAATTTGAATTGTGAGAAATAAACTCGCAATTGCAAGGAAAAGTCAAAATTGTGAGATAAAAATTAGCAATTACCTTTTTACATTTTTTTAATTCAGTGGCGGAAACGGTCTTCCATAGAAACCAGTGTTTGTCAAGCTTTAAAAAGATGTTGCCATTGTGTCCAACCTGGTGTGACATGTCTTAATGCCCAAAATGACAATATTTGAAAATGTATTGAGTGAACTATTCCTTTAATAAATGACTTTTTGCTTATTGTGTTTGTACCCTTTTACAATTCGTCTCATCTTAGAGCTCAGTTGTGATGTTTAGAAAACTATTTCAGTTCAGCTTTACAAAAACTAGGGCATAACCTACTGTATTACAAATGTGTGTCCTCTCTTTGTGTCTCTTTTAGGTGGAGAACATCTTGCTGCACGACAGAGGACATTATGTGTTGTGTGATTTTGGCAGTGCCATTAACCGCTCCCAGAATCCACAAACAGAAGGTGTGGCGGCTGTAGAAGAAGAAATCAAGAAGTGAGCATTGTTTTTTTTTAATATTATACACCACAGTGTTACGTTTTCATATCAATTGAATCTAATACTCTGTGTGTGTTAAGGTACACTACTCTTTCATACCGGGCCCCAGAAATGGTGAATCTATATGGGGGCAAAGTTATCACTACTAAAGCAGATATATGGGTGAGTCAAAGAGGTGAAGACTGCTAGACAATAATTCAATTAGTGACAATAACAGTGCATTTCAGTAGTAGCCAAAGCCTTTGTCTCTGTAGTTGATTATTGGTGAATATGCATATCATTTTGAAACATCACAAAGGAGGTTTGATGACTCTTGCTCATTTGTGTCCTCAGGCTTTGGGCTGCTTGTTGTATAAGTTGTGTTATTTCACATTGCCGTTTGGAGAGAGTCAGGTGGCCATCTGTGACGGCAGCTTCACCATCCCTGACAACTCCCGCTACTCGCACGACATGCACTGTCTCATCCGTAAGTCCAGCTGATGATTGCTTGTCTGTCATGCAGAATATGGCATTCATATGTGCTTTACAAGTACTAATAAACAGCCAATATGCTAGTAATATGCATGCTAATAAGCAACTAGTTAATAGTGTTAATAGTTAATAATATAATAAATCACTAATTATATAATAATAGTTAATAGTGTTAATAACAGTTAATAGTGTTCCCTAATCAAAAGTGTTACCGTATTTTCAACAATTTTCACTGTAAATATTGTCCAACTCCAAAAAATATTCTGTTCACATGTGTAAATTTATGTTTTAATAAAAACATTATTAGGGACAAAACTGTTGGTGGAACAACTAAGTACAGTCGTCATTTTTGAAAAATATTATTTTTCACACATTAAATATTCAAGTAGTTTGTTTTTCACTCTTTGTTTAGATTACCATAGATTTAAATGTTTTTATTGTGTGTGTGTGTGTGTGTATGTATATGTATGTATGTATATATATATATATATATATATATATATGCACTCTACTGTTCAACGGTTTGGAATCAGTACAATTATTATTTTTTTATTGTTCCTAAAGGATTAAAGCTAAAGCGTTAAATTAATCAAAAGTGACAGTGAAGACATTTATAATGGTACAAAAAATGTATATTTCAAATAAGTGCTGTTGTTTTGAGCAACATTTATCCTGAAAAAAATGCTGCAGTTTCCACAAAAAAATATGAACGTAACTAGTAATAGCAATGTAACTCTTTCCAACATGGATAATGATAAAAATTGTTTATTGAGCACCAAATCAGCATAGTAAAATGATTTGTGAAGGATCATGTGGCACTGAAGACTGGAGTAATGATGCTGAAAATGATTGTAAATTAATTATTTAAAACATATTAAAATAGAGAAGGCTATTTTAAATTGTAATAATATTTCACAATATTGCTGTTCACACTGTATTTATTGTACTGTTTATATTAAGTAAATGCAGCTTGCCTTGGCGGGCATAAGAGACTTCTTTCAAAAATATTGAACTCCAAATATTAAACATTTATAGTGTATTATGAGCAAGGAATAATTGACAATGGGCCATTGAATTATTAGAAAATAATGCACACCTGAGCTTGGTAATATATGTTTTTTGTTTTGTTCATATAACAAAAAAAAGGGGGGAAAAAAACGTTTTTTATTTTAATAAAATACATTTTCATTCTCTGGGACAATAAAAAATATTTTTTTTCAAGATTTAGCAAAACTGGTTTTCACCTGTACACTTTTGTGTTTTGATTTGTTTAATTTCTCCTGTCTCAGGTTACATGCTCGAGCCAGACCCTGACATAAGGCCAGATATCTACCAGGTGTCATATTTCACCTTTAAACTGGCACGGAAAGAATGCCCAGTACAGAATATCCACGTAAGACCTGCTCATTCATACTCTCTCGCTATTTCCTGTGCTATAACTACACCAGCTTCCATGCGCATTTGCCCTGATCTACTCTCCTGTTTTCCTGTCACACTCTACAGGGTTTTTGTTCTTTATGCCAGCACATACTTCTTCATCTATGTTTAATTCATGCCTATCCCTTTCAGTAGATATCGTAAGTGCTTGCACAGGAAGTGGATTGTCGCTCGTGGCTGCCAGCTGGCACACATCCAGTAGCCCCTCCCACTCTGAGCAGTATTGATAGTATAATGGAAGCATTGAGTCATGATCAAAGACATATTAACATTGACACCCGCAAATGCTGTTTAGAGTTCAATACAGGAATGACCTCTGTAAAAACTTTCAATGTTTCTTTGACCGTTTTTCCTGACGTAGGGATGTTTGGCTCAGACTGCGTCTACAAATAAATATCATAGCCAATGACATGTTTTCATTACACATTTGTGTTTTTGCCAACAACATGCATATCTTTTGTTGTTGAGGATGTCATCTTCACTTATTTTTACACATCCATGGAAATTAAATTACGCACTTAAGAATAATGATTTCATAGGATGTGACACTAGCAAAAATGTGGTATGAAACCATCTCTGTGCTCAACTCTAGTAAATAACTTAATAAAATAAAATTTACATTTACATTGTCATTTTGCAGACGCTTTTATCCAAAGCGACTTACAATTGGGGAATACATAAAGAGATTCTTCTTAAAGAGGCAAATAGACACAGGAAGTGCTTGTAATACCAAGTTTCAGGCATTGCTCAAATAAGTACAAGCTAGAAAGGGAAGGAATAAATAAAGAGAAAGACAAAGTTTTTTTTTTAAATATATTTATTTATTTTTTTATATCATTTAAGGTGAAGTCAAGTAGCGTTGAAAGAGATGAGTTTTCAGCTGTCGCTTGAAAATTGTCAGGGATTCAGCATTCCGGATAGGGGTGGGAAGATCGTTCCACCAGCCAGGAATGGTGAACGTGAATGTTCTGGAAAGTGATTTTGAGCGTCTCTGTGATGGTACCACGAGGCGTCGCTCACTAGTGGATCTCAGACTTCTGGAGGGGATGTAGATTCGTAGTAGTGAGTAGAAGTAGGCGGGTGCTGAGTCTGTGGCTGTTCTATATGCAAGCATCAATGTCTTGAAATTGATTCAGATCG